ATATTTTGTGAAAATCGTCTAATCACCGAATTACATGGTTTTGCTGACGCATCCGAGCAAGCTTACGGTGCATGTATATATTGTTGTGGTATTCACCCTTTACAATAGTTATAAATAATATTGTAAATCGATGTAACAGTCAATATGAATTACGCAGTTAAAATGATTCATGGACTTGCAACAAAGTATTAGAGATAAGCAACATTGTAAACATGCACGTGTACAAATCTGTAACCGCAAATGCGTCGAAGTAAATAGCTGACTCATTCGTAACGGGTTTCTGTGATGACGAATAAGCCAATATGAATCATTTTAACGTATTTTTCTGGAAGAATGATTACGTCACCATCGGAGATTATAAAAAGTCGGAAGACAGGAGAATATGTGTTCATTCTCAGTTCAGTTGCCAAATAGTTCACATCACTCTTATCTTAAAATATCAATTGTGTATTAAGTGTAACCAAGTAATGAATTAAATAAAATTTATAAATGTCTTCAGATGTTTAATTAAGTATTTCACAGTGGTAAAGTTTATGATAGCAGCAGAAGAACCTAATTTTAATTGTTGACATCGTTGGTACGCAACATAATTGTTGGTGACGGCCTCAACATAACTTGTTGGCAGCCAGGGTGTACAACATTATTTGGTGGCAGTGTGGGATTCTGCGAATTTTTTTTTTTAAAAAATGCTAAATTATTACCATAACATGTCTTGAACATAGAATTATTGCATATTTGGAAAACGGATATTTGAGAAAAATACGCCGAAATATAGCAATAATTAGATTCAAGAAAAGGTAAAAAACTTTACCGAAGTGGAAATATTATTGAAATTACAAAGTGAAGACTCCAAAAATCAAGAAGTAAGAAAAGAGAAAAATCGTAACAAGAAGAAACAAGAAAATCAAATTAAGAATCAAGAAACAAAGAAAGAGAAAGAAGATAATATAAATCAAGAAGAAGAATCAAGAAGTTCAAAGTGTTATATTTAGTGAAGTGAAAAGTCAAAGGTGATAAATAAAATAAAAAGTGTTATGAAAAAGTGATAAAATCATTGTTCAAGGTTACAAAAGTTTAAGTGATTGTGAATTCGAGTGAACCAAAAGGATATTAAATTAAAAAAAGGATTACAACTCATTGTCAGTAAGCTTATTTTTAACATATTTTTGTAAATTTTTGCGCTTCTGTTTTAGTAGTTTTACACATATTTTTCAAAAATGAATGAACTAGTCGATATGTCGCGTGAAGGTAAATTAAATATTCAAACTGCTATTGCGTTAATTCCGAATTTCAATGGGGAACCTTCAATGCTTCCTTCATTTATTACTGCTTGTGATGCATTATCGGTGGATTTGAGTCCATCAGAAGCGGAAAAATTGCTAACAGTTATAAAATTAAAATTAGACCCACAAATTTTTGCAAAAATCCAATTTATTAATTTTGAAACGTGGGAAGATTTAAAATGTTATTTAGTTAAAGAATATGTTGTAAAACGACCAATTGCTAGTTTATTAATTGAATTAAACAATTTAAAACGAAAATATAACGAAACAGTAAAAAGTTTTGGAGACAGAATTGAAGAAATTTTACGACAAATTCATTACTCAAACGTAATTAGAGTAGGACATGACTATGCAACAACAACACAAGTGACATTCCAAGAAGTAGGCATAAAAGTTTTTGAAAATGGCTTAAGAGAACCGTTAAAAACTTTAGTAAAATGCTGTCGATTTTCTGATATTAAAGATGCCATTGACTTCGCTTTGCAAGAAGAAGCTAGTCAAAATTCGTCAAACATCAGAAATAATCAAAATAATAATATAATATGTTACATTTGCAAAAAACGTGGTCATATTGCTCCACAATGTTTCTTAAATAAAAAGAATAATGCTAATTCAAATAATAATAACCAAAAATTTTGCAATTACTGTAAAAAACCAGGTCATTTAATTTTTGAATGCAGAAATCCAAATCGAAGAAATTTCAATACAAATCGAACTTATTATAACATGTCAAAAACTTTTATTACCCCTACCAACGAACACAGACAAACATGCAGTTATTCGCACACACATGCAGAAAATGCATCAAACGCACATGCCCACAGAATGTCAAACTGTGACGAAAACCAACAATCCACAAATTCCCAAACCCAAGATCCAAATCCAACAACACCAGACAACGATACTATTACAGTACGTGAACTACTATCACAAATTCCCAGTTCATTTTCAATAAATAAAACCGACGAAAAAGAAATAAATTTCGAAAACAAAAATGTTTCGTTACAAATTGAAAACAAAACTTTTTGCACAAAACCAATCAAAGAGCAATTAAGAGACCAAGACAAAATCAAAGAAACACATGACAAAAACGTTTCAATTTTATCAAAATCAAATAACGAAAAAGAACAGAAAGACAAAATTTTAAAAAACCCACAAATTTCACAGACAAATAAACGTTCAGAATTTCAAACAAACAAAACGATCAAAAAAGTTGAAGGACCAGAGGTAGTTACAACTACTACCAAACATCGTTATCAACAAACCAAATCAAAGAAATCCTACGACAAGTACGTAAAACCACAACGGACATTCAAAAACGACGATTTAGAATTATCAACAGACAAAAACCCTTATGCAAGTAAATCTAAAAAACTGATGCCTCTATTTAAAGATGCATACAGAGTTGTTGAGACGAATGGTACAGGACGGATCATACGGATCAACGACAAAGGACATGCCAACTGACGACTTTTTTTTTGCGAATTGAAATTTATAAAACCAAAAATGAAATAAAATATTACAATTGTCAAAAAAGACAACAAGTTAAGTTTACAAAGAAAAATGAATTACATGTTAGAAAGAGATAAAAGACAAATGAATTATAATAAAATTGTCACAACCAAAGATTCTCAAACTTTTTTTCACAAACATTAAAATTTATAATGTAAATGAAATCAAGTTTTTTTTTTTTTTTTTTAAAAAAAGCATTGTTATATTATAAGTCATGATAATTATTGTAAAACTGTTCACATTATTATTAACTAATGAAATGTCATATTTTGAAATATTATAAAGATGTTATATAACTCAACTGTAATCATGAAATTTTGAAAAATATTACCATTGAAATAAAATTATGCTTAATTGTAAATTCATGATATTGTTCTACAATAAACACAATTTTTGAATTTTTTTTTAATTAACATTTTTTTTTAAATTTTTCGAAATTTCATGAAGAAGAAAAAAATGTATTTGAAATATTATATGAACTTCAACATTATATTAATTATATCCAAACAAATAATTATAAGAAATCTGTACAATGTAATAGCATGAGCACAAACATTTTTTTGAAGCACCCGAAATGCTTTCTTTTGTGAACGCACGAGGGCGCGCGTTTTTTCGGCGGATGAGGTGTTGTGGTATTCACCCTTTACAATAGTTATAAATAATATTGTAAATCGATGTAACAGTCAATATGAATTACGCAGTTAAAATGATTCATGGACTTGCAACAAAGTATTAGAGATAAGCAACATTGTAAACATGCACGTGTACAAATCTGTAACCGCAAATGCGTCGAAGTAAATAGCTGACTCATTCGTAACGGGTTTCTGTGATGACGAATAAGCCAATATGAATCATTTTAACGTATTTTTCTGGAAGAATGATTACGTCACCATCGGAGATTATAAAAAGTCGGAAGACAGGAGAATATGTGTTCATTCTCAGTTCAGTTGCCAAATAGTTCACATCACTCTTATCTTAAAATATCAATTGTGTATTAAGTGTAACCAAGTAATGAATTAAATAAAATTTATAAATGTCTTCAGATGTTTAATTAAGTATTTCACAGTGGTAAAGTTTATGATAGCAGCAGAAGAACCTAATTTTAATTGTTGACATCGTTGGTACGCAACATAATTGTTGGTGACGGCCTCAACATAACTTGTTGGCAGCCAGGGTGTACAACAATATGTACGATCTATCGATATCAATTCTGATATTAAAATAAAACTAATAGCGCTCGAGTAGCGCCATTAAAAAATATCACACTCCCGCGTCTCGAACTTTGTGCGGCACAATTATTAGCGAATCTTACGCAAAAAACAAAACGGGCATTAAATATCGCGTTTGATAAAGAATTCTATTGAAGCGATTCCACAATAACCCTTTCGTGGATAAAATCTCCGTCTTACAAATGGAAAACTTTTGTTGCCAATAGAGTTTCTGATATTCAAACAAAAACCGACGCCAACAATTGGTTTCATGTCCGATCGCAAGATAATCCAGCAGATCTCATTTCACGCGGGTGCTTGATTTATTAAAATCATCTTTATGGTGGCAAGGTCCATTTTGGTTACAAAATTTAACTGAAACATAGCAACGCATAACTAACTATCTTACGATTCCAGAGACTGATATAGGAATCAGAATTACAAATTTGATTTGCACGAAAATCAATACTAATGAACTTTTTTCATTATATTCTTCATTTATAAAACTAGTACGAGTCGTAGCTTTCTGTTATCGATTCTATCAGAATTCTAAATTGATTAAGAACAAAAGATTACATGGTCCACTTACCATTAACGAATTCAATGATTCATTAAAAAATTTAATAAAATTATCACAACATGATATATTCAAGCATGACATAGACATAATTATCAGTAAGGGAGCACTAAACAAATCTTCAAAACTAAAATCACTAACTCCATTCTTAGGTAGAAATGGAATTTTACGCGGGGGGCGGATAAAAAATTCTAATTTAGCATATGATAAATGCCATCCAATAATATTACCAAAGAATCACCCATTAACAATTCTGATAGCTAGACATGAGCATTTAAAATTGTATCACTGCGGAGCACAAATGCTATTAAATACGTTGCGTAATACCTATTGGCCTATCGGAGGTAGAAACTTAACAAGATCAATCGTACAAAAATGTGTAACATGCTTTAAAGTAAAACCACATTGATCCATCCATTAATGGTTAATTTGCCTAAAAGTCGTGTAACGCCGCAATCACCTTTCTTTATATGCGGAGTAGATTACGGAGGTCCTGTCTTAAAAAGAGATCGTCAAACAAGAGGGTACAAAAAATTAAAGGCGTATATATGTTTGTTTGTATGCTTTGTTACGAAGGCAATTCATATTGAATTAGTATCTGATTTAACGACGAATAGTTTCATGGCAACCTTAAAACGATTTATGGCACGACGTGGCAAACCTCGCGAAATATATTCAGATAATGGAACGAATTTCATATGCGCAGCTTCTGGATTAAAGGAACTGTATAAATTTTTACAAAGAAAGTCAAATCAAAACGAGATTACTGATAAAATGATTAACGTAGGTGTGTCATGGAAGCACATTCCACCGAATTCTCCTCATTTCGGAGGAATTTGGGAAGCTGCCATAAAGTCATGCAAGGCTCACCTAAAACGAATATTAGGAAACGCCATTTTAACCTTCGAAGATTTTTATACGGTTCTGACCCAGATCGAAGCAATATTGAATTCAAGACCAATTTCTCCTTTAAGCTCCGATCCTAACGATTATGATTCATTAACTCCTGGTCATTTTCTCATTGGAAAATCCTTGATTTCAACTCCAGATCCGTCAGTGTTTGATATACCTGACAATAAACTTTCTCGATATCAACGACTCCAAAAACTTGTGCAACATTTTTGGAAACGCTGGCACAAAGAATATATTTCAGAGTTACAAGGTAGAACGAAGTGGCAAGTGCAACAATCACAGCAAATTGAAATAGGGGAAATGGTAGTAATCAAAGAAGAAAATTTACCTCCAATGCAGTGGAAATTAGGACGTATCATTGAAACGCACCCAGGAGACGATCGAATTGTGCGTGTGGTAACAATTAAAACAAAGGGTGGTATACTTAAGCGTGCTGTTCACAGAATATGTGTGTTACCAAAACCATTAACAACAACTTAATTCACATTCACGAAGATTACCAAATATTTTGAAATCTATATTTCAAGCCCGGGAGTATGTTCGCGCCAATCAAAGCATGCGGGTATATGCGAAATAGAAAACAAAAAATCATCAATCGATTTATTATAAAATTAAACTCAAATCATTCAACACGTAATAAAACCATATTATAATTATTATAAATACGATGTAATTTATGTAATTAAAGTAAAATAAATATTACTAGTTACAAAATCAAAGTATTTACAATCGGTCCTTCGAAAAGCAAAATTCAATTCAATCAAGCAACACCCTAAAAAACACATACTTTTTCCAAATCTAGTCTCATTCGATTCAGAATGGCTTGAAACGTCGAGAAAACATAAAATTTGCGAATCGGATTTTTTGATGAAACCATAAACTTCTCCTCCGGTAAGTAATAATAATAATTCGTTAATAATAATTTTCGATTTTTTTAGATTCAAGCTTCTCCTCAGGTAAGTTAAAAATTGGGGAAAGTGTGAATTTAATGATGCAATTTTAAACATAATCATATATAAGAAAATTACTGAATAAAGCTATGAAAAGTTAATTGCGGTGGTCAAGCTGTGGACTCTCATATCAGAATAAATGTCTGACTGAAATACAGTATGTATGAAATATATCAAACAAATAAATAAATAACTAAAAATATAATTAATATTAGGTAAATATACACATACCTGAAATTTATATTTAGTGTTCAGATATAGCATAATATCCAAATTTGTTATCAGCGCTTTTAAACATTCCAGAGCAACTAGACAAATGCTAAATCCGGATGATGACATAAAACAGCTGCAAATATCTGAATTGAATTTTGGAGAACATAAAACGCTACCAAATTTTTTGAACTTCATATTGTTTTCTGATTCCCTCAGCGAGAAATTACAATTTATATGTGACATTATATCATTCAGCGATGTTGGAAAAAATTCTTCTTGAAATTCAATTGTCGATATATCGCTAATACTAGCAGTGGAAAGTAATCCAGTTGTGGATGATCGAACGACTACGAAACAAATTAGAAAAATATTTTAATTATTGTACATTCAGTGGTTCTCATTGAATAATAATTTAATTTCATGGTATTCAGCATATTACAATTTATTCAATATCCTAATAACTTAGTGCTAGTTTTTATTTATTGTAAATGCTTATTGGTAACCTAGTTGGTATTGGTATTTTGCCTTGAGGCAAGTTACATAAACTTCCCAATATAAATGTAAATAATCGACTTAATCAATAAAAAATAAATTCATTTATGAGTGATTAAAGTATTTCGAGTGGATCTGCAATATCACACATAATTGAAAAAGAACGAACATGTTAACTCGGAGTATTTTCTAAAGGCAAATTTTCAAAATTCAATAATTTTCATAATTGAAACAGTTGCCGTAGACTTTAATGGTTTAGTATGTTCATTAAGACCAAGTACTCTATCGTTATACCAAGGCCGTATTATTTCAGTAATTTCTATAAGACTATGATATATATCGCTAAAAAAAGTTCCATAACTAGTGGGGCACATGGCATCGTGCCTTAAGGCAAATTGCTGGAACTTCCCGTACCAAAAATAATTTTTTTTGAAAAAGATTAACATTTTTGAAACAAAATACTCTGAAAAAATTTGATCTTTGAGAAACAATAAATTTTTGACAAAAATTTACTTTTTTTTAAAAAAAAAAGACTTTTTGAAGAAAAATTTATTTTGAAATATTTTGGAAATTCTGAACTTTGTTTTCAAAGCAATCATACAGCTTTAACTGCATAGAGACTAAATATCAAAGCGCGTAAGCGCCGCGTCGCCGTCAAACGGATAAACATTGGTACGGAACCCATAGGAATGTAAACAAAATTTATACTTATTGTTAAAATATCTCATAATTTGATGTGCATATGATATAAAAACTAATGATCATTTTTGAACGCCAAATGGCATTTTTTTTTACTTTTTTTACTAGATCTCCGAAACCGCTTGATTCGGAAACCGCTTCATGAAAATTTGATCAGTTCTTCATCTTGTTAATACAAGTAAAATGTTTTTTGAATTATTCAAATCGGACGCTTCGTTCTCTTAAAAACTGAGTTACCATTTTTGGCACTTTTTGCCCCATATCTTAGGAACGGCTAGACCTGCCTTCGCCAAAAACTAATCAGCACGTCTTCTTATCAATAGGAATCGAATATTTTCTGAATTATTCAAATCGCTTCATCCGTGTTCCCAGAAATCGTCGACGAAAATTTGCATCCGCACACACACACATACAGGCGTTTTTGAGAAAACGTCGATGAAAGTTCTAATTTTGACAAATGCCAAAAAGTTCATACTAATTTTAGCAAACTTTGACGAATTTTTAAAGCTAAACGAGTTGTCGTAGGGCCGTAATATTTTAGTATGATCTAGACTAGAAGACTATGGTCTCTACCGTCAAAAAAATATTCATAAAAATCGTCGTTTTTTTTTAACTTTATTACAAGAAAATCCCGGCCTCTCTACCAAGAACTAATCAGCACGATTACCAACCAAAATATTTCGAACGGTTTTTGAATTTTCATAATCGATTCAGAATTGCGTACTAAAACGTATACAATTTTTTTTTCACTTTTCTGCGATTTATAAAGAAATGGCTAGTCCGATCGTCGCACAAAACTGACAAACAATAGTCCTCATCGAGATACATTAAATGGCTTTTAAATTTTTTAAATCGGTCCAGCCGTTTTTGAGAAAACGTCGATTTACGGCAAAAAATCTGTTCACACACACACACACACACATACTTTTTCCAAATTTGGTCTCATTCGATTCAGAATGGCTTGAAACGTCGAGAAAACATAAAATTAGCGAATCGGATTTTTTGATGAAAACATAAACTTCTCCTTCGGGAAGTTAATATAATTAAAGCATTATGGCAACTGAACTCAAGGAAAATTTAATTCCGTTTTTTAAACAAATTTTAGATAGATAAAATTAATAACAATTATTATTAGTTATGAGATCATATAATTGGATATGAAAAATTTAAAAGGCTTGAATTTAAAAAATATATTGCAAAAAAGTGTAAAACTTTTCGTCCACGTTTCAGCTCACAATCCTGAATCAAATTAGTGGTGTATGGCATCGTGCCTTAACGCAAATTGTCATAACTTCCCGTAACGTAACGTAATGTTCAAGAAATATTAAAAGTTTTCAAATAGATTATTATAAATATTATAACATCTATGAACATATATAAACTGAATCGCAAAGTTGAAATTATTTGTTTAAAGTATATTAGAACTTTAGTCAGAATTAAAAATAAAATCTGATTTATTTTCGATATACAAAAAAATTAAAAAAAAAAAATGAAAAAAAATTATTTTTAAACACATTTTTTCCGAAATCAATTATTTTGTTAAATCATTTAAATCGGATGCTTAATTCTCTCAAAAACTGCCATTTTTTAACATTTAGTGCTGTATCTTCGAAATGGCTGAGTCTACCTTTGCCAAAAACTAATAACCACTTCTCCCAATCATTACTAGTTGATTTTTTTTAGATCATTCAAATCGGATACTCCATTCTCTCAAAAACTCGATTTTTATTTTCTGCACTCTTTGCTCTTGATCTCCGTAACTGCTGGACCTGACGCTGCCAAAAATTAATCACCACATCTCCTTATTAATAGAAATCAAATGTTATTTGAACCATTCAAATCGGTTGATCCGTGCGCCCGAAAACGTGACCGAAAAATTGTATCCATACATACATGCACACACACATATCCATTTTTTCTGAGAAGTATGCCAAAATGTTTAGAAATCTTCAAAACGTCGAGAAACGTAAAAATTTTCAATTTCGATTTTTGGACGATTACCATAACTTACCCTAAGGGAAGTTAAAACTGTTCGAAAGATATTGGTTGGCTGTATCTTCTAAATGGGTGGACCTGACTGCCAAAAACTAATCACCACTTCTCCCAATCACTACAAATTGAATGTTTTTTGGATCATTCAAGTCGGATGCTTCATTTTCTTAAAAACTCGATTTCCATTTTCTGCACTCTTTGCTCCGTATCTCCGTAACGGGTAGACCAGCCTTGGCCAAAAACTAATCAGCACATCTTCCTATCAATAAGTATCAAAGGTTCATCCGTGCACCCGAAAAAGTGAACGAAACAATGCGGACACACAAAGCACACATGCACACATAATTTCTTTCTGAGGTGTGCCAAAATGATCAGAAACCTCTGAAACGTAAATTTACACAAAAATTTTCATTTTCGATTTTCGGTCCATTACTATAACTTACCAAACGGAAAACATCAAAAAAAATTTTTTTTACCCAAAAGTAACCATTCCGTCAACAGAAGCAGACAGACATTCAAATCGGATGCTTAGTTCGCTCAACACCTGCTATTTTGTGCATATTTAGCTCCGTATCTTCGAAACGGCTAGACCTGTCTTTGCTAATCACCACTCCGCATTATTACGAACTGAATGTTTTTTGGAACATTTGAATCGGATGCTCCGTTCTCTCAACGATTGGATTTCTACTTTTTGCTCTATTTGCTCGGTATCTCCGAAAAGGCAGGACCTGCCTCTGCCAAAAACTATTCAGCACATCTCCAAAAACTATTCAGCGCATCAATTGGCAGAGGCTGGACCTGCCTCTGCCAAAAACTATTCAGCACATCAATAGGAATCTAATATTTATTGAACCATTCAAATCGGATGATTCGTGCGCCCGAAAACGTGGACAAAAAATTATATCCATACATATATATACACACACATCCATTTTTTCTAAGATATGCCAAAATGTTCAGAAAAGCTTGAAGATATGCAAAAATCATAGTAAATAATGTGTAAAACTATGTATATGATTTACGTAGTCGCGACAGTATTTTCTCATGCTAAATATAAGATCAAGGAAAAAGTTCGCAGATTTTTTCCCGATAATCAGCATTAGTCACAAACTAGTGGCATCGCACCTTAAGGCA